TGAATCAGTCGCATTCAATCAATTTTCCACCAAGACCATCTCGACCATTCGATGTCATCCCGACCAAATTCCGTTGATTTTCAACTAGTGCCGACTTGGTCGAATTCAACCCATTTGGACTGGGACCAAATAAAGTAAGTTTCGATCATGGCTGTCCCAGCTGAATTCAACCGATTTTCGATCGGGGTCGACTCGGCCAAATACGGCGGAGTCAACTTGACCAAATTCGACGGGGTCAACCGAGCCAAATTTAACTGAATTTCGGTCTCGACCTGTTTTTACATTATGCCCGACTTTGTCTATCTCTCAACCTTTGGTCCGATCCAACTCATCTCAACTTTTTAATTTTGTTATTTATGGGAGAACTTATCTTCTTGAGTCCAGACAAATCTTTCCTATCTATTTAGTTAATTTTTTTTCAAAATTTTAAAATAATAGTTCAATTCAGTTTGTTAGAACAAAAAATAGTTTAGTTCAATTCAGACAAACTATTTTTTGGTTTAGTATACTTTTTAGCACTTAAGTGCAGTTCAATTAATTTGGTCTACTCCTACATATCTATGTGTGTTTAATTAGTTATAATTGTTTCTTAATTTTTTTTATTAAATACTTAACTAAAATTAGTCGGTGAAACAATTATGAAAATATTTAAAATCACTAAATTTTAAATTGTATAACTTGATTAGGATAAAGATTTTATGATATATTGTGAACTCATCCTAATACATTTTTAATCAATCCATTTCTAATATGATTATGATATTTAGAACAAGTGGTCCTAAAAACTTTAATGTCAAAATAGAAGAAGTTTATTTTCTTAATTTTTATTAACATAGCTTTGCAAGAAGATACATTGTTATATAATTATTAACAAAGCTTCGCAAGAAGAAGTATTTTCTCTTTTTGTTCATGAGAACCTATATTATGAATGAAGTAGGTAAATACTATCGTTTTTAGTATTTTAATTCAAAAATATTGTAGTTCGATTCAAAATTAGTGTATTTCGATGTGCAATTCAATTCAAAATCATTGGAGTTCAGTTCAAAATTAGTGGGTGCACTTTAGTTCAAAATTAGTGTAGTTCAAAAAAAAGTTAAGTTTTTAGTTCAGTTCATATTACACTTCAATGGAGTTTAATGCAACGCAATTTGATAAACAAAAAATAGTTTAGTTCAATTTGTTTGAACTAATTTTTAGTTCAATTCAGTTCTGACAAACTAATTTTTGGTTCAATGCAATTTTTAACTATGTAGTTTAATGCAATTCATTTTGTCCATCCCTATTTATAGGGGCAATCCTATTAATAAGAGAGTCTATCGATATGATAAGCAGAAAAAAGATGTTAATGAGAAGTTGGTGCAAGATTCTCTTTAAGTCTTATATAATGTAGAAAAGTTGTAACCGTTTTGTGAGTCCTGTTGTACTAGTTGGCAAGAAAGATGGTTCCCATTCCTTTAGTATCTGATGAAGAAGTATCCGAATTTTAATCCTTGAGGACAATGATTTTTTGAAGATTGGGTAATTGATACATGAAGATAAATAAGGAAACTGTGTGGCAACCAATCCATTTAATTATGATTATCATTCAGATTAATCTTGATCACTAATCAATTTAAATTTGATTATTTTGTTAGAATTTTTATTTATGGCATTAATAGTTAATTGGTGTAATGAAATTCTATAGATAAATACAGTCTAAACAAAGTGAGGGCATCTAAATTCTAAATAAACATTCTTATGAGGATTTCTTCCTACACCACCTCACATTTCTCTCTACACCCACACATTTTTAAAAAAAATTCTAAAACTATCTTTTATATTTCAAAAAATCCTACACCTCCACTTTTTTTCTTCAATGGATTTCAAAATCTGTTGAAAGATTTTTTTTCTTCAACAGATTTCGAAATTCGTCAAATAATTTTTCGAAAACTTCAACAGATTTTGAAATCCGTTGAAGAAGGGTATTTTTGGAATTTGAGGGTGCAAGGAGAAAGGTGGAGAGGTGTATGGAGTAAACTCCATTCTTGTAATCTTCCTTAAACAAATATATTTTTTGGATTCTATTCATTCATTGGAATCCCCTAAAGTTCTTTAGTTATTTGAATAATTTTATTCCTAGTTCTACCTACATCATCCAACATCACTATTCTATTTTGGTTCAAAGTAATTAGTCATTATTGTTAAAAAATCCTAAACCCTAAACCCTAAAAAAAGATATATATTATCTTTATCTAATAAACCACTGCACATACTGTTTTATCTTTCGTAAAACTGAGATTGATACTCTTTGTATTCACGGTGGTGGCTTTAAATAGCCACATAAATGGGCTTAAGGCCGTGTGTTCACAAAATATAATAACAACTAAATGAAATAACAACTTCCAGCAATGATACTGGAACAAACTGACTTAGAGAATAAAAACAACTAACAAGTTGTTATAAAACTAAAAGGAAAAGTAAAGTAGTCGTGACAGACTGGACATTATAAATGAAACACAATAGCAATAAACTAAAAGAAAATTATAATCATAGCCTCTTATTTTAAAGTTTATTTAACAAAACTCTTTTATAAACTTAAAATTTTTCCTCATTCATTCTTATAAGCTTTCTTAACTCTTGAAATCACGTTGTAGGTAATGTCTTCGTGGATAAATTAGCTATATGCTTTTTGTTCTCAACATGCTCAACTTCCATACTTTCTTGCTTCACCTTTTTACGATGAAATGAAAACAAACATCAATAAGTTTGCTTCGGTCATGATTTACCATATTCTTTGTCAACTTGATTGTTAGATCTATTGTCTATCCGAATTAGCATTTGCTCTTCTTTCATTATTTCAAAATTTTTTAGTAAGTTTCTTAGTCAGATTGCATGTCGAACACTCTAGGATGTTGCGACATACTTAGCCTCACATGTGGATAGTGTCACATTGGGTTATTTTTATGAGAGTCAAGTAAATGCTATATTTTCCATGAGGAACACGTAACCAACTCTACTTTTTCGATTATCAATATCTCCACACCAATCACTATTCGAATACCCACTAAGCCGGTAGTTTTCCGACTTAGTGTACAATAATCCGAAAGACATAGTACCCTTTACATATCTTAGTATCCACTTTAGTGTTTTCCAATGAGAATATCCTGGTCCTTCCATAAAACGATTTGTGACTCCCATGCTTAGCATAATGTTTGGCCTTCTGTTTGTTAAATACTTGAGAGTTCCAATTAAACTTCGATATATGTTTCCAACAACACGTCCCCTTCTCCATTTTTTGATAGCTTTGTACCAGGTTCCATTGGAGTCAAAATGGAATTGCACTTCATCATCTTTGTCTTTTTCAGTATATCTTCAACGTCCCTCTTTTAAGACACAAAAATCTCCACTGAACTATGATTCACCTCCAGACCTAAAAAATATATCATCATGCCTAGATCAGTCTTCGAACTCCTTCTTCATCACTTCTTTAAATTTTTCGACTAGTTTGATTTTACTTTCCATATGAAAATAAAATTTTCTACGTATAAAACAACAAACAACATATTTGTTTTGTAATTCAATATCTCATCAAGAATTACAAATCTATATATGTATGGTGCAAATGGTTTCTCTTGTTTTGTAGTAATAGCTGCAACATTAGGTTTGCTCCTTCTCAATTTGTGGTTGCAGTTTGTCATGGAGGCAAAACAAGCCCTTTCATCAGGAAGGTCAATAAGACTAAGGCCATGTTCCTTTACAATGATGTATTTGATGCCCCTTCTAGCTACAATGATCCTCAACAGACTAATATAAAGATAGACGACTATGTAGGAAGGGCCATGATTGTAAGTGGCCATGGATAAACAAGGAAGAGTCTAGTCTGTTATTAGAGTAGGACTTCTCAGATGGATTTGTCCAAGGGACATCATGTTATATATATATATATATATATTCTTCAATTACTCGTCTGGTTATATTCCTCATTAAACCCTTAAAGAGTTAGAGTTTAATAAAAAATATTATTACCATATTGGAATGGGGCATACAATAAGACAGTTTTGATTTATGACGCCTCCTAAAGTTCGTTCACCCATATGCATCTTTTACATTTGGTCTCATTAGGAATCTCTATCCACCAAAGGAGGAGTGTTGAAGTTATACTTATTTTACACTTCTTTTTTATGTTGAAAAATTTTAGCTTTTTATTTTTAAAGTTGTTTGACTATTTGAAATAAATTTAGCAGTATAGTTCCAGATTTTTAGTTGTTAAACATGAGATCATGTTTCATGTGTAGCTACTATTTTCTTGTTTTTCAGTTTGATGCTATATATAAAGTTTTCACGAATCCAATAAAAGATAAACTTCATACAACAATTTCTTTCTTGTTTTACTTTTTATGTAACTTATTGCTTCATTGCTTTTAAAACTCCAAGAGACCCTTTCCAACAACACTTTAACACTAGAACTTAGTGACAAAAATAATATGACTTGGAGGAGTATCAGAACAATAATTATTTGAGACATTTGAATCTCAAGAAATAGAATTATCTTTAAAATTGTTAGAGTAGATATGAAGAAATTTTTAGCATAACACACAGAAGTTTTGGCCAAGGTGAGGTATAAATTACTAAGTTTTCAAATTGTCATACTATGATTCGTATTTATATTTGAGGAACCAAGGAAAAAAAAAGGGGCTAATCTGGCTTAGAGTGGTACTCTTCACGAACACTACACAAATCCCAGGTTTGAGAAGTAATGGAATATCAGATGGAGAAAAATTCTGATAAGTGTCAATCTATGTTGAAATCCCGTGAAGGAGTACTATGTAAATTTGGATGAACTGCGATGGTGTGCAAAGTAAAAGCAAAGGATGCAATAAGATCTAAAAAACAAAGAGGGAAAATGTGAGGATAAAAAGGCAAAGATGTAGGATTGTATTAAAAAAACAGCAAATGTTATGATATGTAGGTACTGAAATACTGTAGAAATATGGTATTGTATAGCATAAACAAGAAGGGAAAAGTAGGGAATAAACAAGAAAAAGAACGCGGAATGCCAAAGGAACCACAAATTTGGATCAGTTGAGAAGGAAGTTTTTCAGCCAAAGACAAGAGAACTTTAGGTATCTTTTCATATTGTTCTTGTAATCCACATATATCTGTCCAAATCGAACTGTGTAACCAGCATCCCATTCAAAGCTGTCTGAAAATGACCATGCATAGTATCCCTTCACATTAACACCTTCCCTGCAGGAAAACTAAAATTACTACAACTGACAACTCAATATGAACAAAATATGCTTAACTTGCAGTTAAATTCTCACTTGATGGACTGAAGAAGGAAATGAAGATGGCCAATAAGGTATCTAATCCTGATACCATCCTTGAGGGCTTCATCCACTGCTATTGAATCATCCCTTGCTTTAGCAACACCTACAAGAAATTAAGAACCAAATAATCTTAACTTCTAAGTAAACCTATCAATTAATCACTTTCTATTATCATAGACAAAGAAGAACCTAATTTTGGTTTTCTCCTAAAGCCTAAGCATGTAGAAATTTTATGATGGGATGATCATTATAGACTTATCTAATAACAAAAACGGAAAATTAACTGCGTAGTATTTACCATTTTCAGTGATGTAAATATTTGGATTCTTGTATTTGTCCCTTATGTATACCATAAGATGGTGAATTCCCTTCGGATATACGAAGAGCCAATCCAAATCCGTCTGCATAAAAATTTTCATCAGTCGTACGTACGTACAAATTCATGTTCACTGCAACTGCATGATGGTTTTTTGACAAGTGTATGTTATGATTCAGACATGTTAGAATCACTTTCATGAATGGAAATACTATTTGCATGGTGTGCATTATGGGCTATAACTAAAATTAAATAGCATTAAATTAGTTTAATCAGTCCCAGAGAAAATTTACTGTACGCACCGGAGTTCCAATAGCTTCACCATTCTTTTCCGCTATGATCAAGAGAAAATTGTTGCTTGTGTTTGTCAGTTCTCTGTTAAAAAATATTATAAAGACAGTAATTCACATAGTTTTGAAATATGTGCTTACTGGTTAGAGTGGCTAGTATATCTGTGTAGAAGGTCCTGTTGGTGGTGACTGGTGCAGCATTTTCTGCATAATATGTGGTGTAGTAATTCACACCAAGAAAATCGATGGATTTTCTTAGGCCTTCAGATTCAGCTTTTGTGAATTTAGCAAGTCTAGCACCCACTAAAGATTTCATACTTTCAGGATAGTCACCATATGTAACCGGATGAGCATACCTGAGAAAAATTTCATTCGCACATTTACAATTTGTTTCAGATAATATTTATGCAAAGTTCAATTTGCACATATATTTTGTCATTTTTATTTTTATAAGAAATAAATTTTAAATTTAACTTAATTTTTTAAAATTGGTTTGTAAAATAAATTATATATATATATATATATATATATATATATATATATATATAAAATATAATATAATAAATTGATCTTCTTTTTAAAGATATAAAATTTTTAATTCATTTTTTATGTTAAAATATATGCATCTCGAATTTAAAACTAAAATTTAATAAATTGTTTGATACTGGACAGGACAACAGATTTAGTAAACAATAAATTTTATTAAAATATAATTCATGATTTTTATATTATAGGAATGAATTTTAAGTTTAACTTCACTGTTAAAAATAGATTATTATAAAAATGAGAGTTACATAGTCTAAAAATTGATCTTACCTGTTACACTTCCGACATATTTTATTAGGAGAGAAACACATACCAACCAAAGAAAAAGTCTAGAGCTCTACTTGCAGCTCCCTCATCAGCAACACTCTGAGATTTCGGCAAAAAGTAGTGAGTCGGTAAGGTAATCCCAATTTGTCCCTTTTGATGAGCCTGTCACAAAGAAGCAAAAATAGAAAATGTTACTTTTCTCCCAAAGTATAGTTCCTGTACCATATAAAATCTATCAAACATTATATGGTCATTTATGGATAGTTAACATGTATAATAATAAGTATTAATGGATCAAATTGTCTTCCACTTTACAAATATACATATTAATAATAATTGATTATTGGGTTTGATTGTCTAAAAAATGTGTTTGCCTACCACAAGTCCTATCAATATAAGATTAGGTAAAATAATATTGATCTATCCTAATAAAGACTTCTTTAAAGAGATATTTGACTTGAGCGTGAAAATGTCTTCTGTAGGTCAATAACCCATTGAAGTGGATTGCGTTTTGGGAGAAGATTGGAAGATCGAAAGAGAACATAACAAGAAAGAACAACCGATCCTCGGACTAATTCAACCGAAATAATTATTATAATCTCTCACTTTTATTCTAAGGAAAATGTTTCTGAAGCTAACCTGGTATTTTGTCTTGTACAAGGTGGCAGCAGATTGATGAGCCAGTAAGAGGTTGTGTCCAACGATGTAGGGTTCGGTGGCCGAGTCACCAGCACTGCAATTCCCAGCGTACTTAGAACATCTACCTGGTGCAAAGGTTCCACCACTGTAACCATTCAGACTATATGATAAGGGTTCATTCAGAGTCACCCAATGCTTCACTCGATCTCCGAAGGTCTTGAAGCAAAAGTCAGCATATCTACCAAAATCCTCCCTAATTATCCATCACAAACAAAGTTAACTGGAAATTCAATGTTAATTAGGGTTTTATAATTTTTAATTAATTAATCATTGTTAGAAAGTATATATATACTAAGTATGTTTATAGATCACTCACACCACTTTATGACTACGAAATCCCCCATACTCATCTTCAAGAGCTTGTGGGAAGTCCCAATGGAAAAGAGTGACGAAAGGTATTAAACCTGGTAAAAAAAAAAGAAGATAAAATGTTAAGAAGCTAAGTTCGAGGAAATTCAAGAAGGAATACATAGGCTAAAAAGAGGGTTTACAAAATATATATATGATGTCACAAGTTCTAATATAAATAGTTATAAATAATAATAAAAATCGACCAGCTTTACCATTTGATATAATCTCATTGATGAGATTATTGTAGAATTTAACACCCAAGTGATTAACGGTTCCTTTGCCTTCTGCAGTGAGAAATTCAATTGTAACATAACATATTATTAGTTTTGTTTTTCTTATCTAATATCTAGACTGGGTAAAAATAACTCATCTGTACTATATTATAGTTAACTATACTATATTATACTTAAAAAAGTTGATCTAATTTTACTAAAAGTTCAGTATACTATTTTATGGTTTAGTTTTTAAAAACTGAACTTGTAACCGTTTCGGTTCAGTTAACTGTGAGAACTGTATCTACTCTTTTCTCTTCTCTAGTTTCCGTTCAATTGCTCCGTCTTGCTAAGAAAACATTATTTAATAATAAAATATTAATAAAAGAAACCGTTCAAATAAAAAATTAATAATGAATTTTTTAAGACAAAACTTTTTTATCACAAATTTTTTTATTTTTTTATCAATAAACATATATTACGTTTTAAATAATATTATTTTAAGTAATAAAAGTAAAATATATTTTTTAAATTTAATTTTAGTAAATGATTAAGTAATATAAATCATAAAAAAAAGACTATGTAAAAAAAATAATACTTTAAATATATTATATTCTTTAACATATTATTAAATATGTAAAAATATGTTAAAAAAACTTTTAATAATATTAAAATGTGTGTAAGCGCACGCACTAAAATAACTAAAATAAATATTATTATTATTATTTTTAAATGATATTTTACATACTAAAACTAAAACATATTTTTTAACGTTAAATTTTATTAAATGAATATATAATGAGATATCATAAAAAAATAGTAATGTAGCAAAAATAATTAATATTATAGAAATATCAAATGACAAAAAAATTAACAAACAGTTTATTAAGAGTAATTTTTCTAGTATCATCTTTTATTATATTATAATAATTAATAAATATTATTTTAATTTTTACATAATAAAATATAAATAATAAATAATAAATAATTGATTAATAAAATAATTTTACGAGGGAACAAAATAAATATAAATAAAAAATTATTTTAAAATAAAATAAGTAGATAAAAAGATAAAATAAATTATATACACATATAAAACAAAAAAGTATAAATAAAAAATTAAAAAAATAAATATAAAAGTAAAATAATATTCATGACAAAATAAATATAAATAAAAAAATAAAAAATAAAATAAATAAATAAAAAATAAAATAATTTCCATGCACATATAATAATAAAAATAAATAAATAAAATAGAAAATAATAATATCAAATAATTAAAAAGTTAATTTGTAAGACTCTTATGAATAAAATAAAATAAATATTAAAATAAATTTCAATTAAAAAAAACATGTATTGTTATACTATTCAGTTTAAAAACTAGTACAATTCAGTTTAAAAACTAGTACAATTCAGTTTAAAAACTAATACAATTCAGTTTAAAAACTAGTACAATTCAGTTTAAAATTAGTATAATTCAGTTTAAAATTAGTATAGTTAGTAGTTCAGTTTATTTTATATTGTAGTTTAATACAATTTAGTATAGTTCAATTAACTGAATTGTTTTATGGCTCAGTTCAGTTTAGACAAATTAGTTTTTAGTTCAGTACAGGTTTTAGTAATACAGTGCAGTTCAGTTTTATTTGTCCAACCCTACTAATATCCATGTTATATAATTTAAGATGAAGAAGAGTTTTGAGTCATATATTACTGGGGAATATTCTTGACCAAGAGATGGAGAATCTGAAGGAGTCTATCCCAATTTCTGTCACCAATTTTATGTCACTCTGCAACATATTAACAGAGGCAGTTAATGATGGAAAATGACACAACGTTGGTGATGCTTATTTAGCACTGTTATGACTCAAAAGGGTAAAATTTGAGGGTAAGATGTACCTTGTAGCTATGATAAAAGTCAGCTCCAACATCACCAGTGCTGTGATCCCAAATTTTTTCTGATCACACCACACAAAACATTAACAAAAAGATTCGTATTATATTTATATACTATATCAATTTATTTCTTGGTTTTATTGTACTTTTGTGCGAGTTTAATACTTTATATGCTACACCACCATTAGGCTTATTTGATTTATATTTTATACGAGTTGACAGTTTTTATTTTACGAGTTGTACAAATTAATTTTATTTAATATTGAATATTTATTATTTTTTGTTTATAAAATAGAATAACAGTATAAATATATATAACATTAATATAATATAAGTAATGTAACAAAAAATAGAGAGAGAGAAAGAAAGATGAATTGTTTATACGTTTATATTTAGTGCATGGTAAATATTAAAAATTAAGATTATAAAATATTATTATTTTAATAATCCACATTTATAAACTATACTTTATATTCAAATTAAATATAATTTAAAGTTTTGTTAATAATGACGATAAGCATAAAATTGATATAGATGAAAGTTTCAACATATAAACATTATAATTAAAGTTATGGTTCTCTAGAGGTATACATTGTTATTATCAATACGGAAGAAAAGAAAAAAAAGTATTTACATTAATTTACATTATAATAAATTCATAAAATAGTTAAATTATATAAAATAGTTATTAAACAATCGTACGTAAAGTAGTAAAAAGAAGACATCGTTTTCCAGGAGAAAAAAAAAAAGTCTCTGATATAAATACATCGTATTGGAGTGTTATAACAAAAGGAAAGAAATTCACGTAAGTTTGGCACCTAAGTTACGTATGTTTTTGTTGTGTTACAGAATGAATGGAATTCAAAGAAAGAGGGTAACCCTAACCTGGATGCTGTTCAGTGAAGGTGTCCCAAATACATGGTCCTCTTCCATCTACATTACTTGCTCCTTCTGCCTGAGTAATTAACAAACCACGTTAATTTACATTATCAATCATCTATCATGCACCATCGTCTATACCATATACGTGTTTATACCACAACATTTATTTAAAAAATAATACAATACCATACCTCAATTATTAATATTTAAAAGATTGTATAAAAACTGTTCAAGTATGTATATAATTACAAATTGCATAAATTCAACATTGTGATAACATAAAAAATTCATTATCACTTATTTATTCGTATATCTTTGCTCTCGATTATCAAGAAAATGAAGCAGAGAGTATGATTTTGATTATTTAAGAATCAAAGTCAAATTTTCAATAAAACAATTAAAAAAATAATGAAAATTTTAAAAAATTTGGATACTTTTCGTCTCAATTCTATAATAACTGAAGTAAAAAAGATATACGACTTTGGTTTTAGTATAACCGAAGTCAATAAATTCACCAAATTTTCAAACTGTAACTGTTTCTTTATATATTTCGTTTTCTTCAAAACTGTAGAAGTATATGAAGCAAATTAAAAAGATAAATCTGCACTACTGAAATCATTACAACATTTCGATTAAATTACTACAATTATGAGTTAAAATCTAAATAAGTAATTTCAAGTTGATGTTTGTAATTTTAGTAGTATACATACATTTATCAATTTTCATCACTAAATGCTGAATATATAAATATCTGTAGCATGTAAATGGATTAAATTATTCGAAATGCTCTAGTTATAGTGCTTTTTGTTGATAAAAGAGAATATATTACAGTAGGTGTGGTCATGAGTAAAATACCTGGTAAGCAGAAGAACCTACACCAAAGATGAAAGTGGAAGGAAATAGGGTTCTGTTGAATGTTGAAGCATAATGACTTGGCTTCACACTTTCAGTTGCAGTTGCAGTGCCATTGCCAAAAAGGGTAGCAATAGCAAGAGATACAAGACACACAAGACAACTCTTACTTCTCATTTTTTCCTTTCTTTCTCCATAACTCTTACCAATGCCTTCTATTTATACAACAATAAACTCCTTTTCTTTCCAATGATTATGATGGATATAATTGGAAGACAGTTTTTAGGGTTTCTATTATATCATAGTTTATCTTCATTTCTATCCTGAAATATAATCTAATAATAAAAAACTAAATAATTTCTTAATATGTATGCATGGCTATTTTAATATATTTTACCACATTTTAATATATATAGTTATTTTATTGTAAAATAATCCTATTTATAAAGTAGCATGTTCTCAAATTTATTAAGCTAGCTTGTAAAATTTTAGATGTTTAGTAAACTAGAAATAAGTGTAAAATATTAGAAATAAATACATTCATGCAATATTTTCTTTAAATTTATTGTATTAATAAAAATATATTTTAGGTTTTATTTTTCTTATGAAAGCTAATATGATGGGCTAAAAGACACATGCCGACATATAATAAAAAGGAAAAATTACAAAAGTGAGGACTAAACCGCAACCCACAAAAGCAAAATAAAAATATGAAATTGTAAAAGAGAGGATAATTAAGAATTCCAATTATGAATGAAATTGTAGTTATAATGAAAACAATAACATCTACTAAAAGAAAAATGTCATTGTCAAATTAACACAAACTTTACAAATATATGGAGTTGAAAGAGCAACAGAAATTACGGCTTATATGTAGATAATTATGCCATAAATAAGCGTGTAATTGTCGCATAAATCCACGTGGCAAGAGCAGTATTAGCACCAATAGAAAGAAGACAACACCAAAATATGACCCTCATGATCTCTGAAATTATCACCATTGTATTTAATATAGTTTAGAGGACAGATAACCAATTAATTTATTAAATTTTTCTATGACTAGTAATTTTTTTAACATGTAATAATAGTTTTAACAGACATTTTTTGGCTTAATAAATATTAAGTAATATAAATATTAAAATTGGCATTTTTTTTAATTTCTCTTTATGATAAACCTTCTCCTTAAAATCTCCAATAATGAAATCTAATGTAAAACAAATATGACTTAGAGCAATCTAAATACGTGATCCAGACCAAGGTGATAGTCAAATTTTTGACCGAAATTTTTTATAAATGCAACCAGCAAATAATTCATATTATAATATAATTATAAAAAATAAAATGAACGAAAAATAAAATATAACTTTAAGATAATAAAGAAAACTTAAATTTGTAGAGTTGAGATTTGGTTGTTCTAAATATTGACTCAGTCAATCAGAAAATAAAAGTTTATAAAAAGAACTACTGCATTATATTATGGCATACAATTTAAAATTATAAATAATAAAAGTTTCACCTCATAAATGTATTTTTTAATTTTTTTTTATTGCGTGGCCTTTTAATGAAAATTAACATGGCAGAAGTTGTCAATAAAGCAATCCCAGAAGACATTATTTTGAACTGTAAGATCCAGGCAAAAGTCCACTTTGGATCTCTACAGCACGGATCTGCGCTGAATCCAATCACTTTTTCCAAGTCGCCAAGTCTTTAACAGCTTGCACAAACAAACAAATTTGATGGCAATAACATGTTTTAACATTAATATGGTGTTGAGAAATTTTACTTAATACTAGAGTTTTCGTACAATTTTTGAAAATACTTATTTTAAAATTTTTTAATTGTGATCACTTCTGATTGTTGCTCTATTAATTTTCCATCTTGTTGCAGAGTTTATTAAAAGCGTTGAAAGTTTCATTTTTATGGATTAATTAACCCACAACACTTTTAAGATTGTATAACTGGTTCTTAAGGTTTGATCTTTTCGTTCATATTTTTTTACATTTTGTACTATTATAGTGATGTTCCTTAACATTTTATAATTATGATGATATATTGTAGTGTAATAGACAAAGCGGGGTCATATAAGTATGGTTACTACATCACGTATTGGATGATGACCACTATTCGTGCCCCTCCCATGTTGTGGACGGGAAATGGTAAAATTTCGTTTTATTGATTTTTTTTCTCTATAGTTTAGAATTCATATACACTAATTAAAATCATTGTCTTATGTAGAGATTCAATTCTACTACTTCAATTCTAAACAAGTCCCTTAAATCCATAAGGAAAACACTTACAAAATATGTAATTCAACTCTATAATAGTATGTAGATATTAGTATATTGTAAGTTCTACATTAGCATATTTATGATTAGGTTAACTTTGTACATTGGTTTGATTTATGCTTCTAAGTTAATTTATGATTGTAATTCTATGTACATTGAATTGATTTATGATTTATTATAATTTTCATTTAAATATATGCGTCTCGATTGTTTTGGACAATTTTAAAATATGCAGGTCTGTTTCTGTATTTGGGATTGTTGTAGAAACACAGTTCTTGTAGGACCAAATAGATATAGATGAAGCAACTCAAGAGGTCTTTTAGTAGAAATTACAATTTTACTTTTAAAAGACTCATTGACCTGATTTGCTTTCACACATGTATCACAAAAGACTTTGTTGTTGAATGATAATTTAGGCAGTCCTTTCATGAGGTCAAAACATTGCAACTTTAAGATTAATCTCATATTTGCATGTCCACATTTATTATGTCATATCATAGCATCGTCTTTTATGGATACAAGACATGAAACATTTTGAGCATGGAATTAATTTAAATCTATTTTATACAAGTTTTTCTGTCTCCAACAAATACTAATAAACACAAATCAATTAAATTGTTCTTGCGCCTTTTTATCTCTGTATCCTGAATCAACCCTAATTTTCCAAAATGATCTAAAATCCTCAATTCTCATGGCATCCTCTTCCAAACACTACAAGAGAGCTGTTCAAAAGGTCAGGTTCGTAAGCCCTACAAGTTGGATCAGTGACGAAGATGCACAGACGAACTTCGAATGCTTCTTGTGCATTTGCAAGATCATTTCGCACAAGTATATGGGAATAAACTTCTTCAGGAGAGAAGAGTTCATCTTCTATGATTGGTTATAATATCAGGGGTCGATTGACTTCGTAGAAATGTCAGGAGATTGGTACCCAAACTTGGTAAAGGTATTCTATGTTTATCTAAGGGTTGTTAATGATGTTATTTGCTCCAGAAGGGTGTGAATATCAAGCTTGATGAGGAAATTTGAACTTCTTTAGCAGTCATACGTCTTGGTGGATATTGGTCTTATTTGGGAATGCAGAGTGTGAACAAGCTTGCTATTTACAAACCTTGCTTGAGGAATCTGGATGAACCCAAGGATTATACACTATTTAAAGTAGGGGGACTAAAGAGAGATCACAGGTTGTATGCCTTTGTTATTGTTTGGATTCTATTGCCTAGAGGAGGATATCATGCTTAACTCACTACTGAGGATGTGTATCTTATTCATGCTCTTAAGGAAAGAGTGCAAACTAATTGGATAGCTGCTATGTGCGATCACATGGTTAAGATTGTTGGAAGTCCCACATCGACTAGAGATATGGCCAAATTATAATATATAAGCGAGGTGCAAACCTCACCTTACAAGCCGATTTTGTAGGGTTGAGTTAGGCTTAAAGTCCACTTCTTAATTTGGTATAAGAGTCATGGTTGAAGCTTATCCTAGCGATATTTCTTGTTTCTTGGGCAGTTCTATTCCACCCGCTATCGGACCGTTGTCGGACCACCCAATTTCTACTATCACGCACAAAATGTTTATACCTCGACGTGAAGGGGGTGTTGGAAGTCCCACATCGACTAGAGATATGGCCAGATTATAATATATAAGTGAGGTGCAAACCTCACCTTACAAGCCGATTTTGTGAGGTTGAGTTAGGCTTAAACCTACTTTCTAATAAAGATCACTAAGAAAAATATGGCTAGCCTCCCTTATGTAGTGTTTTTGAGTCATGTCATGCGCTATCTCAATGTGGACCTTACTGGTGAAATAACAATGGGCTACAATAAGACAAATTTGATTTCAAATCTTACTCTTCATCACATGGGTTTAAGGAAAATTGAAGAAGGATGGACTTTCAAGGATGAGCAATTATCCACGAAAGGAGAAGACACATAGCCTTTGAAAGTAGACAAGTCAAGCACTAGATCTGTTTTTCAACCAACGACTGACTTCGAGAGTTTTATGATGCAACAAATGAAGATCCAATATGTTAGATTGAACAAGATTAAGAAGAGATTTATGGTCTTAAACACACACATAAATGAATGATAATTTGCAATTAATTTGGAGTTTAGGTTAATGGTATACATAAAAAATTTGCATCTTCCCAACTATACTTCTAATACTTAAGGATTTGTAAAAGATCTAAGTACTCTCTCATCACCTTAGTTTTGAATTACTAAGTATCTTATTGGTGTTTTTAATTACCAAGACATTCTTAATTTCACTACTACAAAATTATCCATAGATAGTGTTTTTTTAAATAAGCACTATCTATGCATGTACAAAACAATAGATAGCGCTTTATTTAATATTATTTTTTTAATTTGTAATTTAAAATAGATTCATAGATATTGTATTAAAATAAAATGCTATCCATTGGGTACTATAGACAGCGCTTATTAGGATAGGGCGTCCTATAAAAGTTTTGACAATAATTTTCGCTTTGCGGTTCTCTTTTTGCTATTCTACTTTGCCTTTCGCGGTTCTCTTTTTTGCTATTCTACTCTGCCTTTCGCGGTTCTCTTTTTTGCTATTCTACTTTGCCTTCGCTACTTCATTCGAATTCGTTCAGTGTACCGTTTTCATCACTATGTGTGTGCCATTGCCTTCCACCTATAGGACTCCGTTCGTGTACTGGGTTTATGTATCAGGTTCCCTCCTTCTCTTCTCTATTTCTCCTCCTTTCTTATTCCTTTTCAAAAACCCTAGACTAAGTGAACAAGGACGTGAGAGTGTGAGCGGCGTGAGTGAGAGCGTCTAATGCTCCGGTTTTCTTCAAGGAAAGAGATTCACTAATTTTTCCAGCATGGGCTTTTGCACTTCCTATATGGATATTTCGAATTCCTCTCTC